AATCCATGCAAACACTAAACACTAAACCCTAAACCACAAACAGTAAACCCTCAACCCTAGAAAGTAAACCCTAAACCCTAAACCCTAAACCCTAAACTACAAATACTACACCCTGAGCCACAAGCACTAAACCCTAAACCCTAAACCCTAGAAAGAACAACCGCAAGCTATGCCACCCATCTTGAAACACTGAACCCTTAACACTCCTGCTGTTGCTGCTGCTGCTGCTGCTGCTGCTGCTGCTGCTGCTGCTGCTGCAGGGATGCTGCAGTTCTTCTTCCTCTGCATGATTGTTTGAGCCGCCGGCTGCGGCAGCATCAGCTGCTGCGGGTGGCAGACCTAGAGCACCGTACACTCCCTGCAGGTTAACCCCAAACCCTAAACCCTAAACCCTAAACCCTAAACCCTTAGCTGTAGATAAATGTTGTAGGGTTTAGCTTCTGTAGTTCCTCTTGCTGCTGCTGATGCACTTGTTGCTGCTGCTGCTCCTGCTCCTGCTACGAAAACTGCTGCTGTTCCCACTGCTGCTGCTGCTGCACCTGCTGCTGCTGCTGCTGCACCTGCTGCTGCTGCTGCTGCACCTGCTGCTGCTGCTGCTGCTGCTGTTGTTGCTATTGTTTCAGTTGTAGCAATGGAGAGGACAGGGATGGCTCTGGACGCGGGCTGCTGGGAGCGGCTGGCGGAGCGTTTGCGTAGAGAGCAGCAGCAAGCAGCAGAGTTGCTGCTGCAGCAGCTGGGGGAGACAGAGGAGACGCTTAACCTGAACTCACAGAGACAGATGTTAGAGGCCCTGAGGCGTGTGGGGGTATCGCATGCACCTGGGGCCCAGCAGCGTCCCCCTCCTGCTGCAGCCTCACCGTCGACAGCAGCAGAACCCCCAGCAGCAGCAGCAGCAGCAGCAGCAGCAGCAGCAGCAGAGAGAGATCCATATGCACTCAGAGACACAGGAGACGATACACTCAGCCAGCTGCTGCACTTTCCTGCTGCTGCTGCTCTACGAAACTACCGAAGGGCCTCCAAGGCTGTCTCCGCCTTTGTAGAGAAACTGCCCCAGCATATCAACCCAGTCACCGGTGAGTTTTTTTTTTTTTTTTTTTTTTTTTTTTTTTTTTTTTTTTTTTTTTTTTTTTTTTTTTTTTTTT